ATATGAATATCCTGGTTAGGCAACAGGGAGTTGACTTTAATATCTATTTATTTTATTTAATTTACTTCTGGTGAAGAAAATATGCAAGTAAAAATGTGGCAAATCCTGAAATACTTTTATTTTTAAGGTAACCTAAATTTTAAATTCATAAAACAAAATATGCCTTGAAAACGGTAAGGCAAACCATGAAAAGAATGAACAATTGTAGCTAGGTCAGTAAAACTCCAAAAAGATATGCAGTGATCTAATACACAGATAAAATTAAACATGTTATTAGGGATAACAGAATTTCTGAATAGCAAAAGAGACAATAACAGATGAGAATTAAAGTTTCTTCTAAGATTCAGTAAGTCTATGCTTCATTAGTACATTTACAATTACTTAACATAGCCCTTAAAGATTACCAATAATTGGGCCAGGCGCGGTGGCTCATGCCTATATCCCAGCACTTTGGGAGGCTGAGGCGGGTGGATCACGAGGTCAAGAGATTGAGACCATCCTGGTCAACATGGTGAAACCCCGTCTTTACTAAAAAATACAAAAAATTAGCTGGGCATGGTGGCACGTGCCTGTAATCCCAGCCACTCAGGAGGCTGAGGCAGGAGAATTGCTTGAACCTGGGAGGTGGAGGTTGCGGTGAGCTGAGATCGCGCTATTGCACTCCAGCCTGGGTAACAAGAGCGAAACTCCATATAAAAAAAAAATAAAAATAGGATCCAATAAAAGGAATTTAGAACAAACTAGTTTTCTTGCCTTCACAGTTTTATGAAACTAATGGTGAACATATATGCTAATGCCCATAAAGAACTTTCAAACCAGTTACTTCTTTCATGATTTTCTTTTATGCTTAAATGATCCACAGAACAGCTTACCCATTCGAACTACAGGACAACTCTTTTTGCATTCCTGTCGACACTTCTTAGGTTTACATTTGTCATGGTTGACAATAGCAATTCTTGTTAATTTGTCTGCCATAACTGTGTGAATGAATATCCAGCTCTTCTATTAAAGAAAAAGTAACAAATTTAATGTAATTAGTTAAGAGAACTAATTCACATGCATGAAAGACAGGAAGACATAAATGATCATTACATGGAGATTAAATAATTATCTGCAAAACAAAATAAATTTTAACAATAGTAAAAATTGTAAAATAGTCCATCATCTAGTAAAGTTGGGAATATCAAATTTTACACATATGCCTTAATCAGAAGATTTATTTAAGAAAATTTAAAAAATGCCATATACAATAGCAACAAAAAGAAAGTATCTAGGAATATACTTAACAAGCTATATACACAAGAAAACTTTAAAACAACACTGAATGACATAAATGACCTGAACAAATGACATGCTATCTCAGTTTTGATAAGAACAGTCAACATAACAGATTTCAACCCTTCCTGAATTTATATATTTAATTCAATCTCATGAGAAAAAACAAACAAAAGAACCCTAGGCATGTGGTGGTGTGCACCTGTGGTCCCAGCTATTCCAGAGGTTTCGGTGGGAGATTCACCCGAGTCTAAGTGGCAGAGGTTACAGTGAGCCAAGATCACACCACCGCACTCCAGCCTGGATGAGAGTGAGACCCTGTCTCCAAAAACAAACCAACGCAGACAAAGCAAACCTAAAGCTCCAACGGAAAAAGTATTAGTAGCCAGGAAAACTGAAAAAGCGTAAGGAGGATGAGGAAATTCTATAAGCCCTTCCCCCAAACTAAGCATTACTTCATGTTGTGTACATCTGACTATAATGACACTGATAGAGATGTGAAATAATTATAATAGCAATGAAATTAAAAGGAGACAAAGTAACTATATGTATGTACTATGCTCACTTTTAAAGCTTTTATAAGTGTTGATATTTCAGTTTAATCAACTACATAGCATTAAGATCAAAGTGAAGTTAAAAATCTTTTACAATATTGGGCTTAGTGGTTCAGAAATTAATTTCCTTAAAATGGTGATTAAAGTATTCCAAAAAGTGCATTAATACTCAAGTTTATTCCAATATGTAATGAATGAATCTGAAGCCAAGACTGCCCATTTAGAAAGATATCATGTTGGCTTTTTCTGATTGTGATACTCAATCCTGATTTTTCTTTTTTTTGTGATACATTGCTTCCCCTTGTAGACATCTTAAGTCTTTTTCACATCCATCAGTACAATTAGGCTTGGAGGGGGATTAGACATCTTGCTCCTCAATACTGTCTTAGACTATTATCTATCCCTTTTCCCTAAAAAGTTTTGCATGTCAACTATCTAAATGCTTTAGTTAGTACTGACCATCAGATCACTCCCTTTCATTCTTTGAAGGTTTCATCCCTCTGCTAACTTTCACACACTCTTCTGTAATGCCTGACATAGTTCTTGGTGATTTCAATATGCTAACAGATGAACCTCCCATCATTAACCATTCTCCTCCAACACCTTGCCTTCTATTCTACCATTCATTTTTATCTATCTAGCCATTCATTTTTCTGGTTACACACTAGACCTTATCATTACCGGTAATTGCAAACCCTCTGTAACCATAATTTCAAATATTATATTCTCCAACCACCACTCGTATCTTTTCAGTTCACCCCCTACTACACAACAACCCAACAATCTCGATTCTCCCATTCTCCAAACCTTTCACTATCTCTTGAGTCTATCATATTTCCACTGTCTCTCAGCTCTTGGTATTTTTATTTCCCTTATTACCCAGCTAAAATACCCTCAATCACCATCTTGGTTAAATTCAGCTCTTCACCTTCAAATACAGAACTGAAAATGGGAAAGGAAAAAACCCCACAAAACCTGCTGACTAGTCTCCCTTGAAATTCATCGTCTCAAATGGACCCTTATGCCAACCAGCAATCACAATATACGTATTTACCTAGCTAAGACCATTTGTACACTAGAAGACATTCCATAAGAATTCTCAACTATTCTCCTTCCTGTCTTTAACATCATCAATTATTCTCTCCATGGGCTCATTCTTATCGGCATTCAGGCATTCTATTATCCAACCCTATTAACTCCCATTACTTTATTTCTTCAACTGATTTATATAAAAATAGTGATAAATTGCAGTGGATTTAAGAAAAATGAACATGGGCAGAACTGTTAATTAACTGTGTGAACACTTTTAATTCAACTTCTGTATCAATTTGAAGAATTGGGGCAAGGGAACGCCCTATTTCTTTTCAGCAGGAAAGTTAGGCACAGTAAAGCTTGGAGAGGAAGGTTATAGTTAACAGGCTCCTGCAAACAAAGAGGATTTGAGGATATCTCAGATTTGAAGACAAAAACTGTTCAAAACTGACACTAAAACAATGACCCTCAGTGCCATTCTTCCAGCTAAAAGGAAAAAAGGAAGTGAGGTATATTTGGAAGCATTTACAGTCTAAAGCCAAAATAATTGTAATGCTGTGTAAAAGCATTTCAAAGATTGCTTTTAACCAATGATCTTTAATATCACATGAAACATTCTAACCTATGCTTATTGTAGTTTATTAGACTTATAAAACGCGTATAAGTTAGAAGTGGTCCACGGCTCTCATTTCAGTTTTAAGACATTTAGAAGGAACTCTAAATATTGTTTTCTCCCCCTCTCTCCCAACTGTTAAATGCTCTTCCTAAAAAAACAAAACAAAAAAACCTCCCTTTTTTAAAGTAGGGGAGAACTAAGTTAAAAAAACAAAAACAAAAACAAAAAAACTCACAAACCCCAAACACCTTCTGGTTAAAATACAAGTTCTGAGCCTTGGTTACACTAACAAAGCATTATTGTCAGGTGTCAGAACGCAATGAATATTCTCGGAATACGGAACAAACTACTGCAACATAAATGCCACTATTATAAATGATTAGTTAGCAGGCCTGTTGGGAAAGAGTACAAAAATAAAACATGTTATTTGGACAGTTATTTCTCATAGATTTTACCATCAAAAGGGAGAAAATAAGCTTATGTAGTTAATGGGAGGTGGAAATTCGGCTTTGGCTGTCATTCATTCACAATACGTATTAAATGTCTACAATGTACGAAGCCCTGAAGAGATAATAAAGATATTCTGAGTAAAGACACCGACCTTGATTTCAATGAGTATAAGATACAATAAAGGAGGTACAAACAAGAGGAGAAAGTGCCGGGTGCTATAAAAGCGGACCAAAAAAGCTGTAGGATTTTAAGTGGGAAATTAATGGGAATAAACCCAGTCATGGCTGCGTACACACTGTTCTGAGAAAAGCAGTGCGACATGTGGGCATCATTTCTATAAAGCCTGGGAGTGGACAGGGAGTATTCGACTTCATGGCGGCAAGATGCCATGACTCATTCACTCACCAAAACGTGGAAGCCACGACTTCCCACAAGCAAATACGCACATGTGACAATATATCCATTTTAGTGTACTAGGGGACTGTGGGGTACTAGAGGCTGCTGTAAGTTCTAAGGGTGCCCTCCTCTGCAGCAGGTTTGGCTCCAGGGCAGGAGTGGGGTAAAGAGGGAGTGGAGACTAGGGCATCTACGTCCATTCTCGAAGTCCCGGCGGGCGTGGCAGGCAAGATCGGGGACAGCCAGGTCGGCTGGAGGGGAAGATCGAGGCGCCCCCAAGGTCTCGGCGTCGCCCGCGCTCCGGCAGTTCCAGCTGTCCCGCAGGAGCCGCTGCCACGCGCTGCTACCGTCTCCGCCACCTGAGGCCTAACCAAAGGCTCTCGGAGAACGTCCCTACAGTCTTTCCAGCCTGGCAGATGGCAGCTAACAGCCAGACCTCTCCGGGCTATTCACGTACCTGGAGAAAACGATCCCCTTGCGGAGGGGAGCGCAGAGACCAAATCAGTTCTTGCCTTCACTTTTCAGCCACACAGCGTGTTCTCACGGCCACCGGCCAAAATGGCGGTGCCCAGCAGCCACTCGCGCAAGCTGTCGAATGTAGTGCGCATGCGCGACACACAGCGTGAGGCGGAACCCTGGAGGTAGGTAGGGCGCGATGACGTCATTGTACTGCGACCCTTGTTCCTCGCCGCTGAGGAAGCCAGGCTGTCCTAGGAAGCTGAGTGGGAGTGGCACGTAGCTGCTGGAGGTCCTGAGAACCTGAGTTTCGGCCAGCAGCCAGGCCTGGAAACTGTAAGTGTGTTGGCTTGTCTCCGACGTAGAGCGAGGTCCTAGCGTAAACAGATGCATTCTCCTTCCCAGTTTCAATCTTTTTTTTACGCCCGCGCTCTCCTCAAGGCCAGTGGGTCGGGAGTGGAGCCTTAGTCATCCTGACACGCTAGAGGTACCAGTAGGACCAACAGAGTCTGGTCCCGACGCGGCTTGCTGCTGCGCGCTCTTCTGGGCCTCAGCTCCCTCTCAATTCTGTGGTCAGTTCAAGGCCGGGAACCCAATCTTCTCCGAGCTCCGTATTTTATCCACTTGGTGGCGTCCAGTCCCAAGGCCGGCAGTTGAATTCTGCCCTCAAGTGGTGATGGACATTCTTTGTTTTTTTTTTTTTTAGATGACAGGACGTTCAGTTAGTAATAGTAGTTGCAAGTTGGATAGTCTCGTCCTAGATCTCACTTAACTTGCAGGCAAATGACAACTAGTTCATGACTGAACCTATTCATCTGTTTATTCATTCAGTAAACTACCTATTGAGCATCTAAGCCTTAGGCCTTGCTAAAGTTTACAGTCCACTGTCTCTGTGGTTATTTAGTGAGTATCACGTGCTTGTTTGCTGATTAGAGACCAACTTCGGATACATGAGAAGTATCAAGAAAAGGGTATGCAGAAGTATTGCACCTGTTTCGAATAGCAAGTATAATAATGTTCAGTAGCAGTAACTGCGCTACCAAAGCAATTTTACATATTCTTCACGATCCAATATTGGAGTGTTTTTTCACGTTTGCATAGACTTACTAAAATTAACAAAAGATGTGAAAGATGAAGTCGACTTTTTTAGAATGGGCCAGTTACTTCAAAATCTTGGAGTCATTTTCCTGACTTTATCTTCTATGTTAAGACCATATGTAAATAGAACTTTTTAAAACATTTTTCTTATTTTTGTTTTTTTGGGACAGAGTTTCGCTCTGTTACCCAGGCTGGAGTGCAGTGGCACTATTTCGGGTCACTGCAACCTCTGGCACCCCCACCCCCCACCCCAGATGGTCCTTCCGCCTCAGCCTCCCTGGGACTACAGGTGCGTGCTGCCACACCAGGCTGATTTTTTGGTATTTTTTTTGTAGAGATAGGGTTTCACCATATTGGCCAGGCTGGTCTTGAACTATTGGGCTCAAGCAATCCACCTACGTTGGCCTCCCAAACTGCTGGGATTACAAGTGTGAGCCACCAGGTTTCCTTTAAGGCCCGGCCTTAAATGAAACTTTTGACAGCTAGAGGGCATGTATCTCTGTATCACTCAATGAATATTTGAAATGAGGATCTTGGTTGGGGGCAGTGGGATCACACTTTTAATCCCAGCTACTTGGGAGGCTGAGGTGGAAGGATTGCTTGAAGCCAGGTGTTCAAGACCAGCCTGAGTAACATAGCTAGATCATGTCTCTAAAAAAAAAAAATTGGATAAATAAAATGAGGATCAATGTTTACATATTCCTAGAATAAGAGTTTTTTAATCTGATTTGTCTAGGGCTAAAAGTCATTTGAATTTTTAGTCATAGAAGTATAGAACTGCACAGCATTATATAATTAAAAACCATCAAGTGAACCTCTTTGACAGGAGAGGAAATAAAGCCCAGACTTACTCAAAGTTTAGGCTAATTAAAGGAGATACTGAAGCCAAAACTTTGATTCTGTGGTCTTTTGACTACGATAGCTCGCTGCTTTGCATATCTGGTCATATGAAATAAAACCTGAATTCCTAAGATTTTTATTTATTTGAAAATAGGAATGAGGTCTTGCCATGTTGCCCAGGTTGGTCTTGAACTCTTGGGCTCACATGATCCTCCTGTCTCAGCCTCCCAAAGTGTTGGGATAACAGGTGTGAGCCACCATGCCCAGCACCTAAGAGTTAAATTACAGTGATTTAATTATATTAACTGCATCTGAGAATAAATGATTATTATCAGAGTATATGAATGCCATTAAATTTTTATTGGTAAAAACCTGTTGTAGAAAGATGCTCAGCTCCCGGTATAATGTGTGCATTCTTTTTTTCTACATAGAATATTTTAAAAAATGACCACACCAAACAAGACACCTCCTGGTGCTGACCCTAAGCAGCTGGAAAGGACTGGAACAGTACGGGAAATTGGATCACAAGCTGTTTGGTCACTCTCATCTTGCAAACCAGGTAAAAATGAAAAAGCTGTTGGAAATAGTCACTTGCAGTTTCCTTATACTGTCATCTCCCTTTATCCCAGGGAATATGTTCCAGGACACCCAGTGGATGCTTAAAACCATGGATAGCACCAAACTCTTTCTGTATTAATACCATGTTTTTTCCTATACATAAATACCTGTGATAAAGTTTAATTTATTAATTAGGCACAGTAAGAGATTAACAATAACAGTAATAAAATAGAACAATTTATAACAATATAAGTAATAAGTAATAAAAGTTTTGTGAGTGTGATCTCTTTCTCTCTCAAAATATTGTATTGTATCCACCCTTCCTCTTGTGATATGAGAGATAAAATGTCTATGTGATGAGAGGGAGTGAGGTGAATAATACAGGTGTTGTGATGTAGTGTTAGGCTACTATTAACCTTCTGACAATACTTCAGAAGGAGAAGCATCTGCTTCTGGTGATCCTGGATCATCAAGCCATAATGATGTTGATTAATTCGACGTCAGGAGCAGATGATGTTGATGACTAATGATCAGGTAGTATATACAGTGTGGTTATGCTGGACAAAGTGATGATTTATGTCTTGGATGAGACGGAGCAGGATGGTGAGAAATTTCTTCACACTACTCAGAACAGTGCACAATTTGAAACTTACCAATTGTTTATTTCTGGAATTTTCCATTTAATATTTTGAACCATGATTGACCAAACGTAACTGAAACTACAGAAAGTGAAACTGCAGATAAAGATACTACTGTACATTGGTCTGATTTTAACATTCCTTTTGTTTAGATGCTTTATTTTAATTCTAATGTGCTGGAATTTTTTTTTTTATCATGTATCTCTGTCATTTCTTTACTAATCCCTAGTTAGATTTAACTACGTATGTCATAAGGTCTCCTCTCTTTTCCTTCCCATCTCTGCCCAGCGAGGAGTCAGCCTCGTCACTGTCTGCCTGCAAAGGATTTGCTGAGCTGCTGTGGGCTCTACCCAGCTGCCATGTGAACTTCCCTGCAGTCCTGTTTATGCGGGTATATTTAGAACTGCCTCAGCAATGGCAGCCCACCTCTGTAATGGCAGACTCTTTCTGTAATGGTGGCTGCCTCCGCAATGGCGGGCTGCCTCAGCAAAGGTGGACCACCTCCGTAGTGATGGACTGCCTCGGTAATGGCGAATGCCCCTCCTCTGCAATGCTGGACTGTCCTGACTTCAGCTGTGCTTGCTGTGAAACTCTCAATCCAGAGTGTTTCAGATCACTGTTTTTTTGTGGGTGTGGGACCAGCCGAGCCTGATCACCTGGCTCCCTGCCTCACACCCCGCCCCGCCCCCCTCCCCTTTTTTTTTTCAGCTGAACGGGCATCTCTCTCCCAGGTGTTCCATTCGCCTGTTCTAAGGCTCTAAGTTAGTTGATTTGGCATTTCAGAGGTTCAGAAAGAAGGCTTTAGTGGATGGAGAGTAGTGAGTAAGGAGGAGAAATGGTAGATTAGTTTGGAAATGTAATTAGACATGGGCCAGATTACATGAACCTGTGTAGGCCCTGAAAAAGAGTTTTGATCTTAAGTACAAAGGGAAACCAGTGGAGGTGTTCAGTAGGAGAGGAAGATGATCTGATACAGAATTTTAAAAAGATCACTGTGGGCCGGGCGCGGTGGCTCAAGCCTGTAATCCCAGCACTTTGGGAGGCCAAGGCGGGTGGATCACGAGGTCAAGAGATCGAGACCAACCTGGTCAACATGGTGAAACCCCGTCTCTACTAAAAATACAAAAAATTAGCTGGGCATGGTGGCGCGTGCCTATAATCCCAGCTACTCAGGAGGCTGAGGCAGGAGAATTGCCTGAACCCAGGAGGCGGAGGTTGCAGTGAGCCGAGATCGCGCCATTGCACTCCAGCCTGGGTAACAAGAGCGAAACTCCGTCTCAAAAAAAAAAAAAAAAAAGATCACTGTGGCCACTATGGATAATGGTTGGTAGTGGCATAATGGTGGAGACCAGTGGAGGAAATGATATAACAAAATTTGTTAGAGATGATGTTGGTTTGGGCTAGGCTTAAGAGCTGTTGATATGAAAAGAAATGATGGCTTTGGGATATATTTTTAGAGCTGGAGTAATTATGATTCACTGAAGGAAACCTTCAAGAGTGACCTTTCTGACAGAACAACTCATATTGTTTCCTGAGTTGAGAAAGAAGGAGGGAGGGGAGGGACTAAGTAGACTTTGAGTTGAAAAATAAATAATTTGATTTATATATGTTAATTTTGAGATACCTAATTATTATTCTAGTTGAAGTGTTTAGTAAGCAATTGACTATAGCATCTGGGAGCTCTGCTTAAAGTTCTGGGTTGGAGATACACATTTTAAGGTCATAAGTGTGCTGATGGTATTGTAAGGCAACTGGACTAATTCACCTAGGGAGGGAATGTATTTAGAGAAAATAATAAAGTTTTGGGACACTTCAAGATGAAGAGATCTGGCAGAGTCGAGGAAGAGGTGTCAACAAAGGATACTAAGAAGTGGCTAATGAACTAGGAGAAAAACCAAGAGAGTGGGAAATCATAAATAGAAGCCAAGAGGAAACAAGTGTTTCAAAAAGTTAGTTAATTCTTCATCTCTCTTTTATTTTTATTTTTATTTTTTGAGATGGAGTCTCGCTCTGTCTCCCAGATGTAGTGCAGTGGTGTGATCTCAGCTCATTGCAGCCTCCATCTCCTGAGTTCAAGCAGTTCTCCTGCCTCAGCCTGCCAGGTAGCTAAGATTACAGGCGTGTACTGCTATACCTGGCTAATTTTTTATGTTTTTAGTAGAGACAGGGTTTCACTGTGTTGGCCAGGCTGGTCTCAAACTCTTAACACCAAGTGATGCGCCCACCTCAGCCTCCCAAAATGCTGGTATTGCAGGCGTGAGCCACTGCACCTGGCCTCATCTCTTATTATTGCTTCATACGTTATATTATAATTTATCTGCTTGAATCTATCAGTGCTGTCCATTAGAAATTAGTGCACCATGCAATGAGGTAACCGCTAGGATTATGCAACTATTGAACACTTGAAATATTAATACTGTTACTGAGGAACTAAATTTTTAATTTTACTTAGTTTTTCTTAGTTTAAATGTTTATAGCCTCAGCATAGGTCTAGTGCATGGTATAGATAAACTTCTTTACAGAGACCATTTGTTATCTATCTTTAGGTCTTTATAGTTAAGACATTCACCTCAGTTAAAATAGCCCCCTAGTAGAGCCTGAGGAGGTTGAGGCTGCAGTGAGCTATGATCGGTTCACTGTACTCCAGCCAGCACAACAGAGTGAGACCCTGTCTCAGAAAAAAAAAAAAAAAAAGCCATCTAGCAAATGTGAAAGTAGTTGTGTTAGTAGATATGCTTGAGGCTGGGTGTGGTGGCTCATGCCTGTAATCCCAGCACTTTGGGAGGCCAAGGCAAGTGGATCACCTGAGGTCAGGAGTTGGAGACCAGCCTGACCAACATGGAAAAATGCCGACTCTCCTAAAAATGTAAAATTAGCCTGCCCTGGTGGCACGCATCTATAATCCCAGCTACTTGGAAGACTGAGACAGGAGAATTGCTTGAACCTGGGAGGAGGAGGTTGCAGTGAGCTGAGATTATGCCATTGCACTCCAGCCTGAGCAACAAGAGCAAAATTCATCTAAAAAAAAAAGAAAAATAGATATGCTTGAAATGAAAGTGGCTGTTTTATTCATAAAGGCAGTCTAAGCTGGCTGCTCAAATATATCTCTAGTGGTGTTGTATTAGTAGTTTGCACTAATGCTGCTTAACAGACAACCCTAGTTTCTCAGTGGCATGATCAGCCAAATTTACTTTTTGCTTTGGCAATGGCTTGGCTTTAGGCTGTGAGTTGGGTTCAGGTCTGCTCCATTTGTCCAGGCATATTCTCTTAGTGGAGTGCAGAGCATTCAGAAGACCATACCAGACCTTGCAAGCACATTTTCACCTCTGCTTATGTCACAGTATATTGACTGAAATAAGTCATAATTTAACCTCAGTATGACTGGAGTGCAGAATCATATCCCTCCCATGGAGAGTAGGGAAGGAAGCATCAATATTTACCAATAATAACAGTAACCACAGATGAATACTGATTTTCTTTTCTTTAGGAAAGTTATCACCAGGAGATGCTTTTGTCCTCCAGGGGACAAAGTCTGGAGATATTTTTGATTGCTGTGATTACTGGGGACCTAGAGGTGGGGGGAGTTGGAGGAATGTTTCCATTGGCATAGAATGGGTAGAGCCCAGGGATACTGCTAAATACCTTCCAATGCACAGGACAACCCCCGTACCAAAGAATTATTCAGTCCCAAATATCAGTAATCCCATGATTAGGAAACCTTGCCTTAGAACAGTAATTCTAACATTGTAGCATGCATTAGAATCACCTAGAGGATTTATTAAAACACAAACTCTCAGAAGGGTTAAGCTCTCAAAGTGTCTGACATATGTCTGGAATTCCTAACAAGTTCCCAGGTGATAACGATACTTCTGGTCCAGGGATGACACTGTAAGAACCACTGCGTTAGAGAACCAGTACATCATATAAGAGTTTTTTTCTGTGTAATAGTGTTATTTCTGTGCATATTCCTGATAAATGTTAAAGCAGATATCATAGATATGTCTTTGTTTTAGTTCTTTTGTTTAAATTTAAACAATTCAGGGCTGGACACGGTGGTTCATGCCTATAATCCCAACACTGGGAGACTGAGGTGGGCGGATCACTTGAAGTCAGGAGTTTGAGGCCAGCCTGCCCAACATGGTGAAACCCCATTTGTACTAAAAATAAAAAAAATTAGCTGAGTGTGGTGGCAGGCACTGTAATCCCAGCTAAAGCAAGTCTTCACTCCTGCGACTTTGATATTTAGACATCTTTTGAAGCCCTGCCCCCTGCAAAGGTGAGCTTTAGCTACCTGCAGTAATCGCTTCTGGGAATTGCTTGAACCCGGGAAGCGGAGGTTGCAGTGAGCCGAGATCATACCACT